ACATCCAACGCAATCGTGACGTAGGTCGTCCCAAGACGAGCAAAGCTACGGCTAGGCTGACGTCGAGAGGATGGCCTAGTCGTTCCAGCCACCGAAGCGGCTGCTTTTGTATGAATTTTGAGTGACGGGTTAATCTTCTGTAATCTTGTAGGGGGACAATAGCGACTTCTGCGACATACAAAAAGCATTCCCGGGGAGAGGGGAGTTCCTGCTGCCCCACTTCTCTCGTCGTGGCCGGAGGCGAGACAACCTCCGTCAATAGCTGTCAAGGTTCCTAGACGGGCATTACAAGCGAGGCGTTAGCGACATCCACCAGGTGCTCTTTGCTAATCGTTTAATTCGTTTTAAAATTCCTTTTCGTGACTTTTTTAACAAGATATTGGTGTGTTCGATGTGATGCTGCTCCTTTGAGCACATATAGACCAAAAAATGAGCGCCGAAATTTCGTTGTAGTATCCCTTTAAGAACAGGACAGGTGCATCGGCAATGAGATCACACCTTAAGGAAGGAGCACTAAAAGGGAAGTTTTAATGCAAAAGCATTAACTGCCTCATGGAAAGAGCCGACGTCTTCAGTTTGAAGAGCGAAAACGGCTTCATTAAATCTTATGTCCGCGAGGCAGCGGCTCCACCGCTCCACGCCCAAGGTCAGCGCGCTGTACGCCGGAGACCAAAGAAGGGAACGAAGAGCGGCATACGTGCTTTCGCATTCACAACTCATAAGAAGTACTTAGGTGCACCTCGAGGCTTTTGTTTTTATGCTCCTTCCTCACTGCAAGCTTTCAGACAGACTCAAGCACATAGGTATCATTCACAACGCATAGACAGGTGCGAGAAGAATTGCAAAGAACTATGCACTTCTGAACAGATGCAGCGTCCTTTTCGATTATTGCATTAGTGTGTTGCACTTCAACAAACTGTACTAGAGAAAGAGCTCCAAAAGAGCTGAGAACAAAGTCCTTTACTTTCAGTTGTTCTAAACGCAGGGTCACATTTTTGACACAGCTACATGACGTGTGCCCCCGCTTGCACCAAGCAACAATGGCAACTAGCTGCCCGAATATGCCCCCTACAAACACGTAGGAATTCTTCCTACGGGACTTGTCCAGTGCTTTGACACAGTACGTGAAGGCACCAATTCTAACCTTCTTGAAAAGGACTTTGTCTCCTTCGGGTTGACCCTTTCCTTGGAAGATTACGGCACCATTCTTTACCACATGCTTCCTCAAGTTGTAGCCTTTCATCAGTGACCTGAGCAGTACCGCGATCTGGTCATCAGCACTGCGGTTGGAGGCGACTGCCCACAGTTTCGGAAGACTTCGGATTATTGAAAACTTATCAATAATCTGACATTGAACATATCTTGTCCCATTTACAAGTCGTACAAGTTTCCCATTCATTGACTCAAAGGGATATGCGGAGTACCCCCAGAGGGGTCCCCACAGTCTCACACTATCTATCAAGTGGAGGAGTAAGTGCGTGTTGTAAGTCATGTTGACTTGGCCATAGAGTTCCTCGAACTCTTTGAGGAATGCGGCCATTGCTCTTTTCACCTGTGGAAGGCTGTCAAGTGGAACTGAGCGACTCAACAAGAAGTGCATGATACGCACAAACTTCAGCCAGTTGTCGAAGTACTTTTTCGGGAGGAACCCCTTCAGGACCACAGGAGAATAAAAAAGCATCCAGCTGCGCCATTCCGACGACTTCCAGAACTTCATGTCCTTCAGAGATCTGGGAAGTCGGGAGATCTCCCAGATTGGCTGCAGCGCTTTTAGTTTCATGTCTATTTCAGACATGAAACTACCCAGGTGGTAGTGCTGCCCACTCCGACCTTTGAACCACATAAAAGCCGTGGATCTCACGAACCCGGAGCACACAGCGTGCATGTAATCAACAACGAAACCTGAGGCAAAGTTGAAAAATGCCAATCCGAAAAGAATGCTTGCACCCTTAACACCATGGCTTGGTGCACCTTGCTTCTCCGCCTTCTCAGAATGATGGAGAAACGACTCATGAGACCGTGTTGTGCCAACGACCGCAGGGTACACTCTTACATGGCCTCGACCTTTCTCCACGACCTCTCCTTCGGCCTCACACCAGCCGCACCCAAAAGCCCCATTAAACTGAGTCATATTCATGAGCATACAGCGTGCAACAGTATCTACTGTACATGGCCCTGGAAACACTCTAGATACTTTTTGTGTGCCAGAAGCATCAGTCCAAGGAACACCCACAGAAGACAGTTCATTCATAACCTCCACAAATGGCTCCAAAAAACAGTTCATGTCTGGCTTTTTAGGGCCAAACCACAAACCTGCTAGCAGCAGGTTCTGCACGCGTTCGTGAAATGGCAGCTCATTCACTTGCAGAAGCAAAGGCCAAATGCTGTAATTCGAAGACTCGAAAAGCGGAACACCATCGGTATTCCACGTTACGCTGAGATCCCCCTCTTTCAGCGGAAGGCTGTGGTAGGCAGAGCTTTGTGTGATGTCCTGCACATCATACTCCAACGTTCCTGGAGTGCTCAGGCTCCCACTCAACAAAATGTCCCGAACCTGGGACTTAAGGTCCAAAAAAACAAAATAAGCACCCTTCGACACAAGATCATCTGCTCTATAAACAGTACTACAGACTGAGCAGGATACTTCTAAGAGAGATGCAGTCACTTTCCCCAGATTACATACGCATTGGGGGCAGTATAAATACATTACCTTACTGGCTTCGTCCCCAGCAAAATGCTTAAAAAATAAAAACTTCGACCTGGGAAAAACTGTTCCCTCCGGAAGATGGGAGTCCACAAGCTTCAGAAGGCTCTCGGTTGATTCCTTCGAAGAGTCGTACCGCAGGCTGTGGCTCATCACCATTATCAGGCTTTCCGCTCTCGTCAGCTTGGCCCCTTGATACAGTGGTTCATCCTGTGAATTGTGTAGATGAATTAGAAAGACATCAATCTACAAAAATTGTGTACTTCTGAGTTTAGGGCTGAAAACAAAAGCAAGTTCTTTGCAGGACCAAGAACACTGTAGTGTTGTTCATTTCGAGTTAAAGGGATGCTGAACTGAAATCTGAATTCCACAAAACACGGCGGCAAAAGCGTGCAACAGGATGCTACAAACACCAAAACATCACTCATTCAGCGATATCTCAAATGGATGACTGTATTTTTTAAGAAAAAAGGAGGTGCACTTGACAGATATGTTTACGTCTTGTTTCTACGAGAAGGAGACGGAACAGCCTCGCGTCTTCTTCGCCTCGCCGCCTTGAGGGGGCGAAGCGAAGAGAGGAGGAAACGAGATATCTTGATGTCACGCAGTTTATCGGCCTCGCTCAATCGCGTCCTCTTTTTCCAAAAATACGGCCGTCCATTCGAGATATAGCCTTATGAGTAGTGTTGTAGGGATTGTAGTGTCCCGCCTACATTTCCTGCATTTTTAAATCCAAATTCCAGGTTTTGCCCCTCATGTTATGGTTTGAGACCTGAAGCATGGCTACATTTCACATCAAGATTTCTGTACACAGAGTTAAGGCTGCACGACATAGTTCGTATAGCATTACCCAACGTGAAAAGAGTAAAGCTATACGCACTACATAGTGCACCTCGACCAGAAATGGTTATACTCACTACGCGAAGAGCTCACGCCATTTGGGTCACTCTTTCCAGGCGGCGCGTGTATCAACGGGAGACGTGTTACGCCAGCCCCCTGCCTGTGTTCACGCCGCTTTGCGGCGAGTGTGCGGCTGCTAATTACAAAACTATTAACCCACATGCCCCTTCCCCCCATACACGACACTGCGCGGCGTTCAGCCAGCAACCCGAGCCCCACTGTCCCCGATCGTACCTCCCGAAAGGGAGTCCCATACCATTTAGTTCAGCAAAATTTCCTCAACGTTTCCTTTTTTTTTTTTTTTTTTTCAGTGTTAATTGTAAAAAAGAAATGTCGTAAATATTGCCAATTGCTTAACAAACATAAACGTCCTAGAAGAAAAGAAAAACAAAAAAGAGGAAGTTTACACAGGGGTTCGAACCCCATCGAATAGGGCACCGCTGCTTACAAAACAGACGCCTTACCACTAAGCCACGCTACCGCGTCGATAGTTTGTTGTAACCATTCTTGTTATACGAGTTTCGGGTAGTCCGTATAGCACTTTCCAGCCGGGGTGCACGACGTAATGCGTACAGCTCTACTCAATGTGAAAAGCGAGGTATATTACCGTTTCCCTTTTGGCCCCTGCCTCTTCTGAACTCGGGGGGTCGTCTTCGCCTTCGGACGAGGGCGACTCCGACACCGGATCTTCCGTGAAACGTTCATTTGCTACGCTTCTTTGACCAGACGTTGAGGCTACACTTGCATTTTCTTCGTCCAGAACGGTCATCGATGCGCTCCCGGGACTGTCCACTTGTGGAATGCCAGGACTCAGCTCCGAGTCGGAGAGTTCGCTGTCACTGGATGTGAGCACAAGCGCTTCCCGTTTTCTTTTTTCTGCTTCTTTTCGAAGTCGATGCTTCGTGCGGGTCGGCACTTCGGAAGAAGGGTCCCACAGGTACTGCTTATACGGCCGTCTTTTCCCCATGCTGCGCTCAACCTCATACAGAGGCGTCCACGATCAAAAACAGAAGATAGGGATGTGACAGTGATGTACCAACACTACGCCACTACGCTATAGTCAAAACGATCAAACCCGATTATCGAGCGGTATCCCACACGAACACCAAACCGCCGTGAACCACTAAACCGACCGAACCGGATCGAAGCGCACGCAATAGCGGTCAGGGACTGGATTGGATATAAACTACCTACTCACTGGCTTGCACAATAATTGGTAAACTTTATAGTTCGACATATTTAATTACTTACAATTCTTTCATGCTTAATAATGTAAAACTTATTTTAATAAAGCGAAACATTTATGTAAATGTAATTCCCCATTGTGTAAAACAGCGAATGTCTATGCCTCTGCTGGCAACAATGTGTTCTGTTTTCAAGTCAACACGTTGTTCGTAGTCTCGTCGTCTCGTAGTGCAGGCGTGCAGGCTTGGAGTGAAAATGTCACATATTTTAGTCCGATGGCTGTCGGAGGAGAAATGGGATGTGTACCCTACACGTGTCCTTGTGGACACAGAGCTAGGGCTACGTCTGATGGCGGAGCCCAGCGCCATCAAGGACCTGCGGGGTTCTGTTGTCTTGGTGAGATGGAGCGCGGAAGAGCCGCCTGCAGAGGCGATGTTGATCGAAGCAGGTAAGTGAATGAACATGCACGTGGTTTTCCTCTGACGTCGCTAATGTCTCTAATATTTTGTGCACCGCCTAATGTTATTTTATCCCAAAACTGAATTATCTGTCGCCGGTGTTGAATGACACGAACACCATTGCTCGGAGAACCTTCGTTTCGAAGTCCGCGGCAAGAAAGTTCGACAAGGGTTGTCCCTCGCCATCAATAACATTTCTCCAAGGTCGCGTTGTCATTTCCTGCTTTCAAATCATACAAGTGACGGGAACCGGACGTTTAGGTACGCTGTCTTTCTGGCGCCGCAGGTTTCGGTGCGTGGCTATTCTGGGCTCCGCTGACCTTGCTTCTACAAAGTCATGTGGTGTTTCTGTACCCTAATCTGGATGACTTGGTATAAGCCCTTTGTGCATGCTGCCCAGTGATCTCTATGACAATTGCTGGATCGCGCTTCCCCGCTTCAGAGCCCTGTATAGAGAGTTTCGTCAATGGGAGGCGCGGGGAGTCGGCGTGTGCCAGACGTAGAAAGTGGGCTTGACATGCTCTCTTGGCCAACCAGAAGCCTAAAAGAATCCCCTGGCTGGCTAGCGAGAAACTGTTTAATCAAAGGTTCGTATATAGTTTTAATAAGCGCGTAAGAGTGAAATTTAGTAACTCTTCATGGTTGAAAATAGGGTGCACGTGATGTTTCGATCATGATCATTCAGAAAGATGTAAGAAATGAATGTGCCGCTCAACTCTGTTTTGCTCAGACAGTGTGACCACTCGGATGGCAGATTCCCGGCCCTCGGCGCCTGACGTACGGATTATGTCGATCGTTCCGCTAGTCACGCTCTTCCACCATAATTTTCGAAGACCGTAATTGAAACACCTCATGCGCCATATTTTCGTCGCCAAGAGTTACTCCGATGCACTTGTTAAGTTAGTTTCTTGCTACCACCGCCAGGGTTTTTTTCTGACTTCTGGTTGGCCACAATCGACTTTGTGAAGACGTCCTGGAACACGCCCAGCCCTCTTTCGGCCAATGGCACCTCCTCGTTTTGTCTTTTACACTTCTCAACGAATGGCCAAACTCTCTGCATATACGCCTCTGCCCCACTTGGTCGCTGCAGCGCGAGTGAAGCCACCGGACCACCATCTTGCTCATAGGCAAATTGCGGTTTTGCTAGCGTTGCAGAGGCTGGCGGGAGCGTGCTAAAGACACGTTTTCTGCTCGTTCGTCGTCATTCGCCGAAGAACTTTTTAAGGCCCTGTGTAAGCGTTGAGACTTGCAGTTGAGGACACGTGGAAATATTTACGAAAGTGCAGTGCCGCAGGAAAAAGGCTCAACTCGTCGAAAGCAAGTTTTGCCGGTCTCGCAGCATCATCAAAGCTTCCTTTGCACGCAGAAGTGCTGCGTCTCTGTGCCTTCGCTCGCTTGGATACCAATCAAGAATCGACGCCGTGTGGATGTGTTTTGGGAGTTCAATGTGCGTGGAGCTGTATGTGCCTTGGAAGCAGCGTTTTACTTTACTCTGGCAACTGTATTTCTAGCTTACGGCACTCGCGGTCGAGAAATGAGTTTGATCCAGTGTCCAGTGGCGACGGAAAAGGGGGGGAGGGGGGGGTATGGTACGTCTTTTTTTAAGTCGTTAGGCGGTTTACAGAATACCGCGCACACAGCTCCTCATCACTGATCAGTGGTCTGGGGCTCATTATCAACAATTGCTTGGGACATCAACTTTGAGCACGGCTCACCTAAATGTGATTGGTTAACCGATTACCTAGCCTCAAAGATTTTCAGTCTCGTCGTCTTGTACTTTTGCCATCGAAAACCATTCTTGCTCCACAGCATTGCTCTATTTGTGCCGCCATGTGATCCATTAGAGTAGATTTGGAACATAGCCATGGTTAATAGTGCATAAGAGCAGCCATACAGATTGTTTTCCCCCCTTTATTGATAACAAATTGCCGGAACAGCTGGACGATCAAGAACTCTACGGCTGATATATGATACAAAGACATTTACGTGCGACGCATTTTCAGAACTTTGCCACGGCACTGATTCTTGATTGGTATCCAAGCGTGTGAAGGCACAGAGATGCAGTGTTTCGGCGTGCCAAGGAAGCTTTGATCTTGCCGCAAAGCCGGTGAAACATGCTTTCTACAAGTTCTGCCGTTTTCCTGCGGCACTGCGCTTTCGTAAAATTTTTCACATGTTCTCAACGGCAAGTCTCAATGCATACGCAGGGTCTTAAAAACCTTCTTCGGCGAAACATGATGAACAAGTAGACGTGTCTTCAGCACGCTGCCGCCAGCTTCTGCAACACAATTTGTCTACGAGCAAGATGGCCGTTCGGTGGCTTCACTCGCGGGAGCGGGAAGCACAATCCAGCAATTGTCATAGAGATCAGTGACTCTGCTTCATAAGGGTATATAGGTTTTAAACTTAATCTTGGTTAGCATTGATAGGTTGCAGACGAGCTGGTAATGAATCGACACCTTGTAGACCCTGAGATGGGGAAATATAAAAAAACGGACGAAGGAAAACTTTTGTTTTACAAAGTGAGCTATCCTTTGTCTTTTGTTTAGTCATGATATATGTTTTACCTTTTTGTTGTGATGTTTTGATTCTTTTAAATTTTGACTGTCAGTCCTTTCTATACATGGCTTGCATGTACATCAGTTGGCCAGACACAATGAGGAAAAGGGCTCGTGAGAGCATAGCCTCTACCGTGTTAATCTTGCCATCAGAAAGGAGGGCCTTGGGGTACTCAGGGGGGGGGGGGGGGGGGGGGGGGAAGGGGAAGGGGAAGGGGAAGGGAAGGGAGGGAGGGTGCATGAGAGCATAGCTTCCTCTGCGCTAACGAGGCACATTTCACCACCAGAAAGGAGGGGTGGATTGACGTCACGTGCAAGCCATGTATAGTTGTTAAAAGCCTACGCGTAAAACTTGAACAAGTAGAGATACAGTCATGGTAAAAATAAATAGGGACAAGGGAGCTGCAACTGAACTACCGAAGGTTCTACCTTTACAGTCTATTTTAATATGAGGGTGAACAGGCTACAATCTTTGATTGCCATTACCTGAGCGTGAGTCGCGCCAATGGGAATGAAGGCGAGAAAGTGCGCATGCGCAGAGAAAAGAAACTCATGGCCTTTATTTCTGTTGTCGTGACTTGTACAAGCTTGTAATAGATATAAAAGAAGCTAGCTTGTCCACCCTCATATTGGAGGCCATTGTTAGTTTGAAGCGACAAGTTTGTTGTTTGTTTGAAGCGACATCTGCTGCTGTTAGAGCTGCAAATTTTATTGTTAAATTTTGCCAGGTCACTCGATTGACTTCATCCTAATTCCATCTAGAAAGGGGCATCATCATGTATTAATCCGCTGGTACTGCAGTTTGCATGGTACGAATCAAAATAACACTATCTTCAGTTATGCAGTCAGATCTTAATACAGCGACCACATGCTAGCATAGGGCACATTGTACTGCGAATTACAATAGTATTTTGTGCTTCTTTTCCCACACAATCATTAGAAACATGGTTGCTTTTGTTTATGAGGAACAAAAATTATGGAGTCTCACCATCTACCAAGGAGGTAAATGTAGCATTGCCCAGATTAAACCAGAGGCGGGGTTCATAACATGGCACAAAGCACCGATTGTCTTGCTGAAGCTGCTAGAAATGCTGCTAGAAGGTCCTGGAGGTTCCAGACAGCAGGCACTCTGTACGTTCCTATTTCTTTTAGCCATGACTACAGTCACCGGCCATACAAGCTCTAGCAGCAGAATGACAACTGGAGCAGTAAAACTGTCACATGCAGCGAGTCAAGCGTGGTTGTGCTTTGGGAGCTGGGCTATTGGAACCGACCCGTTTTGCAATCGGTGTGGAAGCAGAGCTTTTATCTGCACTCCCAGCTTTTTAAAGTGGAATCTACAGGATGGCCGATTAAATTTCTGCCTTCGGGTGTTGGTACAAAGTATAAATTCACCATTTGTCAAACTGCCCAATATTGAACCAACAGCGCACTGGGATGTCCTAGCCCCTCAAGGATGGGGTTGGTTCCCTGTAGAGCATGTGTAGTAGATATGTGAAAGCTCGCTTCGTGGTGGAACCATTTCCCGCCACTTTATTAACTGGGGATAATGACAAAAGGAAGACATTTGTAGCAGTGCAGGCAACTCCTTTACAGTAAGCATAAAATTGTGCTGAAAACAGGAGACTGTTCGCATTTTGGTCACTGACATGTCTTTGTGTATACATACTCTAAACGACTAAAGTTTCGTGAGGACCTACTTTTTGCCAATTTCATGACTTGAGCAATATTGCAACAAATGGGAGATGGGAATATGTCGCCCTTTAGATACCAATACATTGCATATCATTCTCATTTGTGGAATTTTGTGCTCAATAAATATTCCTGGATCCGGCAGTTTGCCAGATTCACCAAAAATTGAGCCCATGAAAACAAAGTCGCTTGCAGTAATCATTTTACATGCCAAATTGGTGCAAGATTAATTTCAGTCATCCTTTTTACCCCGTAGGGCAGCACAGTTCTCTTGAAAAAAAGAGGACTCGGCTTGCTGACCAGGCCGACACTGCATCGTCCCAGCGGACGCCTGTGAGTTCCATTCTATTGGGGCATTGCCCTGCTTTCTTATGTTGTGCAACTAAATAAGAAGTTGCGACAGGGTGGTTTTAGAAAATATCTGAATTCCCTGTAAGCAGTTGGCGACCATCCTCGTAAACCTTTACTGCCATTTACACTGTTTATTTGCATCTGAGTAATCCTTCATTAGTGCAGCTTTTGGTGTCAATATTGCTTCTGAGCACGTCTCCAACTGGTGTGTTTTCCACATTCTTATTTGTGGTCTCCTGTTTTCCTCTTAATGACATTATCAATGGCGCATTAGTAGCCAGCCGCAATCCTGGCGGTGTTGCAGTAGCAGAGGTGGTGCTGGCAGGTGCTTGTTCTACTGTAGCTATCTCTGCAGTCAGTGGACCCCACAGCACTCACAAGTTGAGATACTGCAGCAGCAGCAATAATGGCGTCTGCTCGCTTTCTCACCAGCATCTCTTAAACCAACCGCCACGGCCGAAATGTCCAACTAAATGTCCTGCAGTCTTTCGTGACATGATTTGTTGCAACTTCGGGACCACTTGATGCGCAGGCAATGTAGGACAGTAAACACACCAGTCAGAAATGGTATTCAGGCACCATGGCAGGTAGTTTTAGAATAAGGTATGCAAATCCAAAGAAATAGCATCGTCGCCACTGTGCAGATGGAGGAGCTCCAGGCAGACAACGCTGCCCTCAAGAAGGGAAACTCAACCCTCGAGGAGGAAAATGCTGCCCTCCGGGTGGAAAACGAGAGACTTCAGCTTGCTGTCCGAGAGCTTGAAGCAGTGATTGGTATGTATAGTACGAACCTCTGTTAGAGGAACATGCAAACAAGTAGCCAGCGTATGGCCAGCACTCCGTGCAGCGCCGGCTGCCAGACCCCACAGCTGCTCAGCGCAGACGCAGTGAGTGCCAGGGGCGCTGCGTGCGGCCTGTTGCCTGCTACTGGAGCTTGTTGTGCCTGCACCAGGCTGCCCCTCGCCTCAGCAACCATCATGGCGTGGAGTGTCAGCCATGCTGTCGTGTATTCCCTCCAAAAGTGGGCCGCTCTGTACAGTGCTGTCCACTGTTGAGGGGAAGGGGAACACTGACACAAGGCATTGCATGCCATTATGCTTGCTGGGTTGAGGGGACCTTAGCACAGGTGCAGTAAGCTCCAGTAGCAGACAACGGGCCACACACAGCATCTTTGGTGCTCACTACGTCTGTGCTAATCCAGCTGAGCAAACGTAGGGAGCACTGTAGCATACTACGACTGATACGCACTATCTCTGCACCAAACACCCAGTTCCTTAATTTTTTATAGCACAGCTCCTAGGTGCCCATTCTTGCATATAGCGGTGTCGGTGTTGGCATCACTACCGCCACCAAATAACGCCCCCACCGTACCCTCAACCTCCTCTCTTGTCCACCCTCAAAAAGAGTGGTCTATATTTGTAAACGTATATATTTCTCTCTCGAATCCTTTGCCATGGTATATTGCAAAATCAAAAGACCCCAAAAGCTCGCTCTAATTTCGCATTACAGAGAAGCATAACTGTCTTTCATTTTTTATTTTCTTTTATCTAATTATAGCCACTGAAAGTTCTCGGGGCACTAAAATCCCTAGGTCCGCTTCAGATCCTTCTCTTGGCACTGGATTCAGTGACTGCAATATGGTGGCCTGGTGCGAGCGGCGAGCGATGGGAGCCCTCTAACGTCACTAGAGCTTCGTGCTCAGTTGTTGCACGAGCCGCAGAATTTATGGAATGAGCCTTTGACGAGCCTCAAAGTAACGAAAGTGTCTCGTGTGGCTATCTGCGGAAGTGTCTCATGTGGCTATCTGGTGGAGCCTGGCAGAGCCTAGTCACACTCAGTGCTTAGCCAACCGCTTTTAGGGCTCACATTGCCCTGACGGTGCGCACCACAAATTAGTTTCTACAACGCCTACACAAACATAAATTAGTTAATACTGCAGGTTAAGCTAGTTGGTAAAACATGATTCACATACCAGTCACTCAAAAAAATCAAGCATACGAAAAAAAGTAATTTTTTCGTATGCTTGAATGTTTTTAGTGATTGACTACCTGTGCGTGAATCATGCCGCAAATTGTCTGGCTCAGCTACAGAGTAGAAGCTTTGCAACTGAACATGAAGTGCTTCTGATGACATTAGATTTGTCCTTCATCCGAGTTGTATGCGCTCTCCACAGGCATTCAGGGGAACAGTGGCTGAGAGGGCTAGTGCATCTCAGTTTGGAGCATGTGGAGCAAAAGCTCGTGATGCAGAACCCAGGGATCCTGGGTTCGATCCCCACTCCTGCCTGTTTGGATCTGGATGAGCATCGTACCGGCACGCGTTCGTGTAATCAGTACTGCGTGATGCATGTTAAAGACCCTAGGCTAGCAGTTGTACCGCACTGGCTAAATTGCTCATTTACAGTGTTCAACAATGTTGCCAAACCCAGGCAGACTAAACTTACGCTGTATAAACAACATTGACCAATTACTTTACACGGGCATTCGTCACCGCTTTGAATGTGCTCTTTGTGCACATCAAAGTTCATTTTGAGTGGTTGCATGACCAAGATCTCACTCGTTCGCTTTCCTTGGCTGTAGGACAACCAAGGCCCGGCTTGGCCTTCTTTTCTAGGCCTAGTGTCTGGAGCATGACAAAACCAGGAAGGTGGAGGATGTGGAAATTCCCCTTTCACTAACGATAGGCTATGGGGTACTTACTCACTGTAAAATACTCCTGAAAACGATCAACACGTCTGTCACCTTCTGGCCAGCCCTAGACCACTGGCTGTCTAGGGCTTTTATGCTTTTTTTTTTTCTTTTTGCTTTGTTGGTGTATTGGGTTAGCTGTACAGAGAGCTCAAATTTTAGCTCTAGGGAATGCTTTGGAATGTAGTCCTCTGGGAAAATTCAATTGCACGGTCTCGTGTAATTGAAGTGTTGCTACTGTTTCTTTAAAATAAGATGCAGTGGTGATAATAATTGCACTTTAACAAATGAGGATAACATATACTTTAACAAGTTGTGCTCTGAGTACCTTATTCTTCTTAGATCTTTATTAGGTTTTGAGAGCTTCACAATCCCAGGAGTAAAGGATACCACACATTGTATACGGGTTAGCTCTTTCTGTACCTTGTGCGTTACACCCAATGTGCTGAAATGCTGTTAGTTACCCCCTTGCACTCCCTACCGTCTCTATTAATGACGGCAAGCAAATCTTTTCTGGCTCTTCATCACGGGGGTTCCCTGCACATCCTTTATGTTGCTTGCTGATTGACGTTTATTTTTGTTTTTTTTTCTGTGCTCATGACATTCTTATGTGTGCCAGAGGACACATTTTGGTACACTTGCACACTGTATACATATTACTTCCACAGTCTTGCAGTGTATTCACAATGTGATGCGGATAGACATGCAAAGTCTGCTGCACATGAAGGCATCATAAAGGTGACATGGAAGTGAAAAAAATGTGTTTCTTGCAAACATTACCCGCGTAACAAAATCCTGCACCACGGCCCATAAGATTGGTGCATTATGTCTAGGATTTATGAACTAAAGAATGTCCTATTCCAGTCATGTCTGATATCATTTCAGATGCCACGGGGATGGTAAAGCGGCTTCATCGCATGCTACGGGCACAAGAAGCCGACCAGGTGCGGCAAGCTGGTCAGGCAGCTGCAGCAGCTCTAATACCGGCAGCCATGGTAAGCTTTAGTCTCTCGTAACTTTGCAGTATGAGTGTTAATTACTGCATTGCTACATTCTTCATGCCAGGATATCCTGTTTGTTCCATCTTCATAGTTGTCTTGTTGATGTAAAGGGCTCCACCGAACAAAAATTCCCCTGCAATTGGAGCCGGTGCAATTGTGCTTATATGTGGCTTACACACAACACACTTCTGTCTTACATGGTGGTGTCGAAAGCCTGCCATTTATGCAGCGGAAGCTACGCTCGTCTCCTGGCCAATGCTCCTTTCCTGTTTGTAGAACTAATACAGTAAAGGCTACAACAGAAAGGGTCCCAAGTTACAACCTATTGGTGAGGAGATTGAACTATACGCCCGTCCGTCAAAACAAACGGTGGCTGTGTAGCAAATATCTCCGCTCCGTGTTATGCTGCGTCGCTCTTGCGCTAGCTTAAATTTGCTTGCACTACTGCGCATTTTACTGGCCAATTCCACAGGTAACGTGTGGGGTTGGGAAGAAGCTTATATCACTAGCTTGTTCACAAAAAGAAAACCGCGTTTTGAGTGCATGAATAAAGGTCCGGAAAATCTTGACGCTTCATGACACTGAGTATAGTCGCAGAGTCCAGCGTGACTTTTGCGGTAGGTTACAAAATAGAGAATTTGCGACAGATACAAGCCATGTTTGCACATTACGGTTCGCAATGGCTGGCTTTTGTAACTCAACATGGTTAATTCAGAATAATTTTAAGAAGCTTCCAAAGGAATCGTGTGATCGATTCAATAAGTTGTGAAAACTAGAGGACTTAATATAGGCATATTGTCTTTCGACGATCTAGTATTAATCATAGACTCTAATAACCTATTTTCTTAAAGATTGTTTGTACTCTAATATATCTTATTTTCTAATGTCGTAAAGGGCAAAGCCCACAATGCCCTTCTGCTAGTTTCCAAATATTCAAATGTAACTGAAAGCCTTGTCTCTTTTTTTTTAACTTGTTCCAGGTAGTGTGCTGCTTTAACCTTTCGCAATCTATCACCAGCACTAGCGTGAGATTCACACAGGCTTTCAGCTTTCTGCAGTGTGTAGTTTATTTATGCGGGTCAGTAGAGTCTGTTCTGCTGACCTTACCCGTTTTCCAAAAAATGAATATAGTAGAAAACACGCAAGACAGTGTCCGAAATGAAATAGACGAATGAAGCGTCGACATTTGTTGAGACTATAAAGTATGTCGGATGGCATTCAGAAATTTTTATGGGTCATGTGCGTGAAAAGCTTGCGCACCTTTGTCATCCTAGGCTGATGTGTTACTTTAATAATTTCCTTTCTCTCTTCTTCACCAGACCGACATCGGATGTGGTGTACTGGTGGAGTCGTCGACGCTACAAGTGCTCCGCAAGGCCGCCAAGTCTTCTGGCTGTAAATTCGCTCGAAGCCTTGTAAAGGTACTTTTTCCAAATGACTCATGGAAGGAAAAGTCCCTCCATGGGCGTAGAAGTAATGCGCACAAGGACATTGATGCAAAAGAAGCCCTGGACCCGACCATCGTAAAGGCCATACTAGGTATGTTCTGTTTCCATCTTGTCGTGAATTTTTATTTTGTGAGGATTGTCCGCTAACCTGCTAGTATATGTACCGTATTTACTCGAAAATAAGTCCAGCATGAATAAAGGGCAAGCTCCTAAAAATTGAATTTGACAAGAATAGCAAATAACAAACAAACTTTTAAGAGAAGAGCAGAGGAAACATTGAACACAGCACACCATTATTAGCCGCATGCTCGGCTAAATCTCAATACTCTGTGCCATAAGCTCCATCATAATCGGAACATTCAGAAAATTACTCTTCCTTCAATGGTTCGCTGGTGTGTTTGGGTCGGGGTTCGCAATAGGTAAAATGGCGTCCCACTGGTTCTGCCATGCTCTAATCAGCTTCTTACTGTTGTCAAACCCTCAGCAAACAGTATCACGCGAAGCTCAATGTCTACAGTCTAACTCATCCAGTCCAGCGTCGTCGTAACTCGACAGCAAATGCAAAACGCCGCTGAGAAATAGCGCCAGCTGCCGAAGAAGGAAGCAAAACAAATGAATGAAACGGTGCGGCAGCAGATAGTTTTGTATGTGACCTCTCTTCCTAGCGGAGAGGTGGCACTACTCTGCATCGCATTGACACTCCCAAGGCACCTAGTCGAGCCGCTCTGGATCTTGATTATAAGTCTACCCATATTTTTGGGTAGCATTTCCCGGAAAAAGAAAGTCTACCTACAGGGTGATTTAAGGAGACGCCAGGCCCTTTAAATCGACCGCAAAATTCGGTTTATTAACCTATCATGCTACAACTTTGTGCAGCATTGCCCACAGATGGTGCATTTTTTTTGTAAAATTTGCAAAGAATGAACTTACCTGAGGAAAAAGTAAAGAAAGAAAAAGGCTTAGCTCCTTTGGAAACGCAGGAACGCCACCGGTCTTCAAACAACACGGCGCCGTTTTACACGGGAGCCAAGAGATGGCGCAACAAACGAGCATACGGCGCCGAGAGCTGTCGTCTTTAGCAGACAATCTTTTCGACTCAAAAGCGGCGCCCGTTCCGCAGGCGGCGACAGTCACAAAAACAGGCGCGTTAACAACAAAGAACTGCAGTTTCTTGTCTCCTAAAGACGCCGGCTCTCGGCGTCGTATGCTCGTTCGTTGGCGGCAGTTGGCGTCGCGACCGCTTGTGCCATCTCTTGTCTCCCGTGCGAAACAGTGCCGTTTTGTTTGAAGACCGGTGGCGTCGCTGCGTTTCCATAGGAGCTAAGCCTTTTTCTTTACTCTTTCCTCAGATAAGTTCGCTCTTTGCAAATTTCACACAAAAAAAAATGCACCATCTGTGGGCAATGCCGAACAAAGTCGTAGCGCGATAGGTTAAGGAACCGAATTTTGCGGTCGATTTTAAGAGCCTGGCGTCTCCTTGATTCACCCTGTATGTTCAAATAAATATGGTATGTATATATCAATGGTTACTTCATGTCTTTTAATCTTGTGCAACACAGCATGACTTCAGCTATGAGGAAGCAACCTCATAATGCCTGCTAGTGCTCTCTACTGGTGCTATTAACTTCTGACAGTGAAATTGGGGATTGAACTTGAATAGTATGTCAAATTTCTGAGCTCATTGAACTGATTCTGACATTTCCGCACTGCCAGTGACTACTCAGGGCGCACCAGTACGATGCGGCAAAGCTTCAGCCCCTGGCACAGGGGACGCTACTACAAATGCTTGTCATTAGTAGAGGAGCTGTATCTATACGGCGAGGAAGTCGTCTGCTTATGTGGAGAGGGTAGAGGTGTCAAGGAGTGACATCACGACGCCACACCTGATATGAGGATGCTAACATGGGTTAACATCGCTCTGTTGTCTGCTGGTCGTAGCAGTGGCTGCTCTGCCTTGGCTGTCAGAGGTCCACCAATTCTGTATGAACCAGGACTCGCCCTTCATCAAACAGAAGAAATAGCTCAAAGGTTAAGTTAAGCACGGGTAAGTTGTCACTCCTTTGTTTTTAGCTGCATATTACTCCGGGAATCCCCACACGTCAAATGAGTTGCTTAAAGAGAAGCAGTAAAAGACTGGGGACTGGAGATATGGCGGCTGGAAACAATTCGACCCTTTGATCGGTGCCACTTTTCTGTGCAGATCAATGCTCCTACTGCTCTGTCGCTGCTTCTTCATACGTTTGCACTGCATGTACACATTGAGTAGGCTAACTGTTTTTTCGAGTGTCCCTTAGCCGGATAGAGAAACATGATTGAACAAGAGGCGACTGAGTGTAGGCCTCGCTTCGACCTGCAACACAAGCTGCAATATTCACACTGCCATGTTGTTTCCAGCCACCACACCTCCAGTTCTCCGCCGTTTGCTGCTTCTCTTTGCACAACTCATTTAATGTGATGGGATTCACGAAGCTAATATGCAGATGAAATCATAGGGACAGCTTACCCACACCGAGGGAGAGAGCTGCCGTAGCCTGCCCCACTTTGGGTGTTGTTGACACAGCTGTGCCGAAGACCCATCTTGGAACCCCCTGCGAGGGCGTGTAAAGGGCAATCCCCTTTGGTCGGACCAAAGTAACCTTGGAGCTATTTCCTCTCCCATTTTACTAAGGGCGAGTCCTAGTTCATACAGAATAGGTGGATCTTGGACAGCCAAGGCAGGGCAGCCACTACTACTGCCAGCAGACAACAGAGCTATGTTTCCCCAGGTTAGCATCCTCATATCAGCGCGGCGGCGTGACGTCACTGTTGACATCTCCTGTACCCTCTCTGCGAGAAGCAGACGGCTTGGTCGCCGTATACTCTATCTTAGCATTTCTCTCCTCGGACTGCACCCTATTTCCTCTTTGTTCTTTCAGTTCTGTATGGATTGTTCACTCTAGTAGTCTGCCTTTGTGTTCTTCAAGGGGCAGCAGACACATCTTGTGCATTGATGCTGTTATCTCCGCATGTCAAAACTCATCTGGGGTTCGATTTTGCTCATTGGTGTCGACTGTAGTTGAACGGTTGGACAATATTTAACCGAGGCTTTTTCACCTATAGCCAGATGGTAAGAATTGCGCCTGCTTGTTCCAAGCGCTCATTTGTTCATCGGTCACCGTCAGTTTGTTTGACTGCAAAGTAGATTGAAAGCTGCTAATGAAGCTGATGTTATGTCTTAAGTAATGCATATTCCTTTCTTTTCAGGGTACACCTGCATGGAATTTGATGTGCAATTGACTGCACTCACAAACAGCCTCTCCTCAATGCTGGCGCGGGGCGTGTGAAAGTGTGTGAAATAAAGTCATTTGGATCATTTCATTTACTGTTTAGTGCCTTAGCAACCCCAATGCTGCACAAAGCAAGATGGCTTTAGCTAGCACAGCTAGCTTTTCAACTGTCTAAAGCCTAATTAATTTGCAACTAAAATAGTTTGTTTCAGATTATCAAAATATATGTCAAAAAAAGTTCTAAAAATACTTTTAAGAATTTTTTGAAAATTTATAAAATAATTAAAAATAAGTTTATACTGCGAACGAAACAAAAATTACGTTAAAAAAGAATTCAACAGAAATTTTGTTAAAATATTTCAACAGAAGTTCCGTCAAAAAGAATTCAACAGAAGTTCTGTCAAAAAGAATTCAACAGAAATTCCGTCAAAAGGAATTCAACAGAAATTCCGTCAAAAAGAATTCAACAGAAATTCTGTTGAAATAATTCAACAGAAGTTCAGTCAAAAGGAATTCAACAGAAATTCTGTTGAAATAATTCAACAGAAGTTCAGTCAAAAGGAATTCAACAAAATTTATGTAAGAAGGAATTCTAAAAAATTTAAGTGGCCAATTTTAACTAGGAATTCAATAAGATGTCAAAATAAACTCTGAAAAAATTAAAAAGAGTTTAAAAAGAAATTCAATAGGATTCCAGAAATTTTTCAACAGAAATTCAAAAGAATTTAACTACAGATTTTTGTAAGGGTACAACCAGAGAGCCGATGGACGCGTTTAATATAAAAGAGAAGAAAAATGCATTAATTAGTGACACATCGGTTACTTCGATTAACATTGAATGGGAATTTTTATCTTCGTCCATACAATGATTTTGGCACGCCGGTTACTTTGCTTTTTTTTTTTCCTTTTTAATTTTTTTTTTTAATTGCATTTTTTTTTTTTATTTTGCCCTACAGCGAAAGGCTCAGAACAAAAGGCTGCGCATGCACGTTCTGAATATTTCGCTGTAGCTAGGCCGCGAATATGTCTAGTTGAAAGTTTCGCCTGTCCCTGTCCACTCCCTCGTGTTTGTCCTTTTTGTTTGAGAATACAAATTTACTCGGTACCGTGAATCAACTAGATCCAAAAAAAAGGTCTTTCATTTCACGCATTGTTGAGGTTTGGCTATGGCCGTCATCGCAGCGATTGGGAACTAGTCGTCCTCCCGAATGCCTCTCGAGGTATTAATTTTAACGAGCCCAAATCGAATGCTCACGCAGTGGTCGTATCCAGTGTATGCGCCATAATTTAAATATCGTAACCCGTGCGGATCGCGAAAGCTTGATTAATAAATCCTGGGGATCGTATCGTTGACCAATCCAACAATGCAATCCTTACAACTTCCTCATCAAGTTTTGCGAAGGAGTGACTGAAAGAAACGTCCGCTTTTATGCTCGAAATTACGCGCCGACAAAGAAACTTCTGGGTATGTGGCGTTGTGTGCGAATATGCAATTGATTCCCTAGCTCAAGGTCCAGCAAGCTTCTGTAAACTGAGGAACATTCCAGCTCAGTATCCTTGCATGGCCCGTTTAAAAAGCTAGTTATACACTATTGAAAAAAGGAACCTCTCGCCGATGGCTTAACTCAGAGTTTGTGAACATGGCGTGTGATTTGCCCGTTCCTTAAAGCGAGAGACGCGCGCGTGTCGGGTAGTGGAAATCACATGCTGGACCATGAATTCCTAAACACGGAGAGATGTATACGATGATGTATGGTTCATGGAGCAAGGAAGAACAGGAGGCGACATACCGGTTCAAGCCGACCAACCGAGAAAATCCCAAGGGAAGCCTGATGCGGGGCAAAAAAATGGCAGCATGCGGAAGGCGACTGTATTAACGATACACCACTGTACTCGGTATTGGCTACGTATCGTTACGTTGTTAAGGTTAGCGTAGCTTTTGCAGCGCTCCAACCCCGTCAAAGCTAGTTGCAGCAGTGTCAAAGATGCGCGCGTATGCTAAAAAGCCATACGAGAAAGCGACGTAGTATAAGTTCAGTGCGGAGCTGCAGCACTGTCGAAGCTACGCTATAGGCCTTTTCATTCTCTGTGGCATGGGCGCTGCCATCTTGAAATCACGTGACGCGGCTGCCGTAAGATGGCTTCAACTCGACGCTCCGCTCTCCCCTCCGCGCCTTGCTGAATGCGTTACATTCGTGCTCTTCGTCGCGTTTCACCGCTCTTTGTTTGCCTTGTTTGGTAAAGTGTTGTCCGATCCGTTTTTTTTTACTACCCAATTGCATGTCATCATTATGCGCACAACTTCTCCACTCGATTTTAGAACACGTACCGGCTATTTCCTTCGGCGGTGTATATCGCATTGGGGGGGGGGGGGGGGGGGGGGGGAGGGGGGGGAGGGGGAGGTGGAGCCTAGAGGAGGCACTGGCGCGCATTGAGTGTTTAGAAGAGGAGGAGAATTTAAAGTCTAATTACCTGTGACAGCGGAGGTCTGCTTAAGAATAGTGATGAGCATTGAGAATAGGAGACGCAAGGTATATTTACGATAGCGCATTTAGGATCTTAGTATACGACTAACATACTTAAAGTTAGGAATCTATGGGTCTCTCGAAAGCATCGTGCTCTGTCTTGATAAAGAAATAGAAAATAGTTTCTTTTAATTATATGATAGAATTGGGTTTGTAGTAAAAACGTTCGCTTTATAGATTTATTTGTGCATTTAAATAATCTGTAAATTGGGCTCGGTCTCATGTCTAACCTGTATGTACTTTCAGGGGCTGGCGATGGCTCTGAAAGTAAAAAAAAAAAAAAGAGTATTTATTCAAACGAATAAAAACTTGTATACACAGATCCTTTCACTCAACTTCAGTTAAACTTCCCGTAGGACACTTCTCTTGCATCTTTAATTCAATTTTGGACGTTGTATGAAAAACGGATGTACTTCACTTGACGGGTCTGTCACTTATTTTTTATACGGAGTACGCCGTAAAGAAATAAACGAATAACATATAGGTTATTTTCTAAATTCAGCCATAGGAAATTTTGTTCATAAATACTTTACAGTAGAGGAGCCCAGTGGCGCAGCCATGAATATTTTTTGTATGCCTGTCTGGGGAGGGGGGAGGGGGGGGGGGGCGGGGGTGCTGGGCAGAGGTGGCTGGGAAGCCCACGAGTTGGGCTGCGGAATGGAGGGGGGGGGGGGAGGGGCGAAATGCATTGTATACTACAGGGCAGACTGCATTCCGGATGTGTGCGTGTGGGGGAGGGGGAGCAAATGAATAACCAGAAATATCCCCCCCTTTCCGCGCCCCTGGCTACGCCACTCGTAGGGCCGGTTGCTGTAATACTTTCCTACTCGGCCTAGGATGTCCCATCGAGTCATTCTCTTGAGTCATTAATATATGTAAAAAGCAGGTGTACATATTATTGCTTTTTTTTTACATATATGCGTTCTTAAATTGAGACTTTACAGTCGGCACAGCTTAGAAAGATGTTGATATCCTCAAAAATAAAGGAGTGAGCACTCCCCTTGGCAATTCATCTGTTCTCGGCGATTCAAAATTGTTAATCAGGTTGTCGACTTGGGTTTTCACAATGCTTCCATACATTTGTCTCTTCATTAGTTCATTATTTTGAAAACTAGTGTCGGCCGGTATGGCTGTAAATATTATGAATTCTCCTCCTACATCAGTCAAGTCGTTTCGCCACCTAACCTGTCCAAACGACAAACATGACCATATGAAGGTGTGTGTAAAAAATGACCACATAGTAAACTAGAGATCACTTTGTAGTTTTTAAGGTGGCCTAGTAGCACTGCATCGTTAGTTGTGTATTATAACGAAAAGATTTGTATCGAAAAATAATGTGAAAACAACGTAACAGACCGACACAGCTGTGAGCGCGCCGAAACCGAAACCGATAAACTTGAAGCCACATTGGAGCGACCTAGAGGTGGCGCTATTGTCGCGCTACCATCATCATCAAAGCGGGGATAGAAGCATAGCCGCCCCATAGGCTCTCCACTTTCGCGCGCGAGGCGGTGTAGATTATTGCGTTTATTTTGTCGCATAGTACCGGTTGGAAAACAATTTTAGCCGAAAATGGTGCGGTACTTTTCGGTGCTTCAGTGAAGATCGAATCGTGTTACCAGCGTACGGCCTAAATTTAAATGCTCACTTGTGTGGTGCGTCGTCTGCTGTAGGCAGACTTTAAGAAGCCTGGATCATCACGACGGATGCCTGTTTCCGGGTGAACTGGGCTATTTATGTTCGCTATCTTTTTTTTTTAATAGATTTATTCGTTGACCAACGTGGGAATTAAAAAAAAATGAATTCCAACCCGGAAAACTTAATTTGGGCTGTGAAATCGCGGGTTCTATGTATTTTCTTCTGTAACTTTTAACTTTCGCAGTGATATAAATATTTTCCATAAAGAGAAGTTAGTGCTGCATTTTGTATGAAGAGAAGTTAGTGCTGTATTGGAAATTACCGCGCTATTGAGTTCCACTGCAGCCCTTGTTTCCCTTCACTGTGCCATGGTGTGGTATAAGTTTTCGGAGTCGGAAAAATTCTACGAAGTTGCGATGAGGGGGGAATGCCGCTTTTATATACGATCGGGAAACTCTTCGTTGGCAGGACAACTGAAAAAAGTGAAACAAACTGTACTAATACATCTAATATATCTTCCGCGACTGCAACTAACGAGTGTAACCGAGCAACGCAGTTGCGTGCGTGTTATTAGAAGCTTTATTTCGGTAGTGTGGATTCACCCGCTTAAATTGTCTGATGAGGGCAGGCGATGTCAAGAGGCTAATATTATAAATATCTTGGTAAATAATATTTTATTCAAACATAATAGACTCTGCAACTCAAACAAACGACCAGCACCACGACAAAGACAGAATTGGGCGCAGCGACCGATTTTTCTGATGAGGGCTAGCGACTCTTACGAGATTTTCCGATCATCCTTCGCCCTCAGCTGACACATATCAGGATGATCAGTCCATCGATTAACCTTTAGATTATTCGAGTGATGCTTTAACTGCAATATTTATCTTTGCCGTTTAATCAGATTCCTGTGATGGAGAAACTCAGA